GCTTTGGCCCAACGGAAATTGCATGTGAGCTGGCAAGACTGCTGGCAAGGCGGTGGACGCTGGCCAGGCTGGCTGTCAAGCTGGGTGGACCACCGAACTGCGCGGTTTAGACGGAATGACATGCCGGGATGCTGGGGTCTTGAAGACGGGGCTTCACACTGCAAGAGCACTACTGCGGTAGACTCTGCGATGTTTTCGACTTTTTCGTTTTGCCTTATGTAAAAGTTGGTATTTTGAACTAATTTTGCCTCGGTTCTTGAGGCTTTTTTCCTTCCGCGATGCTTTTCGGGGAATGCACCGCTACCTTCTGAAGATACTTCCGCTTCACCACTTCCATCAAGACCTAATCTGTCTTCTCAAGTCGCGCATTCACGACGATCCAGTTCGTCATCAAGCCTTTGGCTTTCGATAGGATTTCCCATGTCTTCGAGCGAGTCGGGTGTCCACGATACCACCCCTCCCAGTCGTGACTTTTTTCCCTTCCACTCTCCAGCCTGACCACATCATGCAAGCCACGGCCATGCATGTCTCTCCCGCCCCTACTCATGTGGCACCCATCCCAGGATATGCCCGCCCGCCGAGCACCTCGAGCGCGCTCTCGTTTCATCCTACTGCCTCATCCGAATATGTTGCAACTCTTGCCTGTGCTGGGAAACTCGTGCCCATATGATTTTCCCCGAACTCAAAGCAAAATGGCAATTCAGCCAAACGCATTCGCCAGCTTTCCCATCTCCAAGTTCAGAAGGAGGGCGCATAACATCTTCCCAAACTCTTAATGGTCCGATCAGGAAGCCAAGCTCAGTAGCTCAAAACTTATCTCGATCTCATCTCGTAAACCTCATTCCTCGACCTCTTCGTAATCTTCAGAGTCGTTCTCGCTCCCATCCTCGTCGTCGTCGATGCCCGCCCCCGCATCCTTGTCCGCAGCCGGCTCTCCCAGCTCCGTCCACGATGCCGGCGTCGGCGTCGACAGCGCGGTTCCAGCTCCGGCCCCGGCTCCGGCCGCCGCAGCCACATCCGCCCCTCCCCTTCCACGGCCCCGGCGCTTACTGGGCCGCCCATCAGGCAGCGGCTTCCTCTTCTTCCTCCGCCCGCTCGTGCCGTCGTTAGCTGCCCTCGGCGCCGCGTGCGCATACACCGTGACCTCGTCCGTCTCGCCCCTCTTCTTTTTCAGCGCCATCAGGTTCTCCAGGAACCTCGTCTGCCGCTTCCGCTCGCCCGTCTTGTCCGCCGTGATGGGAATGTGAATCCCGTGCTGCCGCCGTATCTCCTCGAGCGGGTCGTCCTTGGCCGCCGCCTCGTGCCGCGGCTGCAGCCGCTTCTCCGTCGTGTTGATCCGCGCCCAGCTCGCCGCGAGCATGTCCACCCCGCCGGGCAGGTGCCGCAGCGACGGCAGCGGGTCCTCCGCGTCGTGCTCCGCGAACAGCACCTCCGTGCCCAGGTTGCGCGCCCACTGGCCCTCGAAGACTTTGCCCTTGTATGCGAACATGGGCTTGTCCGAGTGCAGGTCCAGGATCTGTATGTCCGCCGCCACGTCCGACTCGCCCAGGTCGTCCGCGGCGCCGGCGGCGGCGTTGTTGTTGTTGTTGTCACCCTTGTCCGCGTTGGGGTCGATCTGGCCCTGCTCCATGTCGCCGTCGTCTTCTGCCTCGGGCGCGGGCTCGTCGTCGTTCTCGTCGTCGGACAGGATGCGGTGGTGCTTGGGCTCATCGGGCTTCTTATGCGGGCCGGCCCAGTGTTTGTAGTGATACCCGCCGCGTCCGGATACGGGCGCGTTTCGTCTTCGCGTGAGGAGCTGGGGGATCGAGAGGTCGACGGTGAGGTAGTATGTCTAAAGTTGCGCGGCGTTAGCAGCCTGCCGTCTTCGTCCGCTCGTCTCGTGACGGCGAAGTTCCTACCTCGGTCTCGATGGTCGAGTACTCGTACTCCCACTCGGATTCATCGGCGTCGTCAAGATGACTGGGCGCTCGGAGAGGCTGGTCCACGGGCGCGGTCGCCGCCATCACGGGCGCAACAGCGTCCGTCGGCGCCGCGTTGCTCGCCATCGTTACCGCGTCGATCTGTGGAAGACGACTCTGGTCGTGTGTTGGGCCTCGTGCATTTGGCGTTGCTGCTGCGATCTCGAAATCAAGTCAAGGCGCAATCGCCAAACATTCGCAGCTCGTGTTCAAAGCATTGGTCGGCTCCGAGTGACGTAGAGTGCAATGTTGCAAGAAGAAGAAATTTCGGGAAAGCTCCAAGGGTTCAAAAACGAAATCGCAGAGCAGACTTCCCCTTCTAGCCAGCTTCCCCAGTAGCAAACCGGCAGATTACCTCAGTGCAGGGGCCGCGGGCCCCTCCATGCGGGGCACCAGCCAAACAACGGCCGGCCGAACTGTGACTGATCGCAACCCCTCTGCCCCGCCATCGCAAGTAAATTTCCCAAAGGACGCCCTACGCTCTACGAGTGACCGGGACTCATCCCACCTTTGACTCACCACCGGACGACTACTTAACGAGCTACGACACTCTCCCGGCGGCCGCATTCCATTCGTTATCGAGCATTGATCTACGTTCCCTCTACCAATCTCAGAAGAACGAACGAAACAACCGCCCGCCATGTCGAACAAGGTCCACATGCTGGACTATGTCGCCGGCAACGTTCGCAGCTTGGTCAACGCCATCGAGAAGGTCGGCTACGAGGTCGAATGGGTCAGGAAACCAGAAGATGTTGCCTCAGCAGATGTACGATCCCTTTTGGCTTCTTCTTACAGACTATAACGGGCAATGAGCTAACAACCTCTCCTCCGGCGCAGAAACTAATCCTCCCCGGCGTCGGCCACTTCGGCCACTGCCTCTCCCAACTCTCCCAAGCCGGCTTCCTCCCCGCCGTATCCGCCCACATCGCCTCCGGCAAGCCCTTCATGGGCATCTGCGTCGGCCTCCAGGCCCTCTTCGAGGGCTCCCTCGAGGACCCCGCCGTCCCCGGCCTCGGCGTCGCAAAGGGCCGCCTCGACGCCTTCGACCCCTCCACGGGCAAGTCCGTCCCCCACATCGGCTGGAACAGCGCAAACACCGGCGGCGCCGCCCTCTACGACCTCCGCCCGGACTCGAAGTACTACTACGTCCACACCTACAAGTTCCCCTACGTCCGCGGCCAGCTCGAGGCCGACGGCTGGACCGTCGCGACAGGCACCTACGGCGCCGAGACCTTCGTCGGCGCCCTCGCCCGCGGCAACGTCTTCGCGACCCAGTTCCACCCCGAGAAGTCCGGCGCTGCAGGCCTGCGCTGCCTCCGCGCCTTCCTCGACGGCTCCGGCGCCGCCGCCCTCGCCTCCTCCACCACGACCCCGTCCCCTGAAGCCCTCCCCTTCCAGGACGGCCTCACCCGCCGCGTCATCGCCTGCCTCGACGTCCGCGCAAACGACCAGGGCGACCTCGTCGTCACAAAGGGCGACCAGTACGACGTCCGCGAAAAGACCGACGGCGGCAACGTCCGCAACCTCGGCAAGCCCGTCGAGATGGCCCGTAAGTACTACGAGCAGGGCGCCGACGAGGTCACCTTCCTCAACATCACCTCCTTCCGCGACTGCCCCCTCGCCGATGCCCCCATGCTCGAGATCCTCCGCCGCACCGCCGAGACCGTCTTCGTGCCCCTCACCATCGGCGGCGGCATCCGCGACACCGTCGACACCGACGGCACAAAGGTCTCCGCCCTCGAGATCGCCACCATGTACTTCAAGTCCGGTGCCGACAAGGTCTCCATCGGCTCCGACGCCGTCCTCGCCGCGGAGGAGTACTACGGCGCCGGCCGCAAGCTCTTCGGCAACACCGCCATCGAGCAGATCTCAAAGGCCTACGGTAACCAGGCCGTCGTCGTCTCCGTCGACCCCAAGCGCGTCTACGTCCCCAAGCCCGACGCCACCCGCCACAACATCATCAAGACGGCCCACCCGGGCCCCAAGGGCGAGGAGTACTGCTGGTACGCCTGCACCATCAAGGGCGGCCGCGAGACGCGCGACATGGACGTCGTCGAGCTCGCCCAGGCCGTCGAGGCCATGGGCACCGGCGAGGTCCTGCTCAACTGCATCGACAAGGACGGCACCAACAGCGGCTTCGACCTCGAGCTCGTCAGCCAGGTCAAGGCCGCCGTCAAGATCCCCGTCATCGCGTCCAGCGGCGCCGGGCACCCGATGCACTTTGAAGAGGTCTTTGAGAAGACGACGACGGACGCCGCGCTTGGGGCCGGCATGTTCCACCGCGGGGAGTACACCGTTAAGGACGTCAAGGATTTCCTGGCCGGCAAGGGGCTGAAGGTGAGGCAGTTTGAGGCGAGCGTTTGAAAGGAACCAGTGTGTAGATGTTGATGGTTGTGGTATATACATCAAGAGATGTGGGATGAAGACATGAAGAACAATATCCAAAAGCAAATAGACACCTTTTTTTTGTATCAACAATTTTTGATTTGAAGTTGTGGCTGTTAAAACGCTACGTTACGGAAAGAAAAGCCTGGAAGACTTGTGTGGACAATCTGACGCGAACGCCGATTACAAACAAGAACGACAACCAAACAAGACTTTGTGTCATGATCTCATGCCAGTGTTTTTGGAAACGTGCAATTCCTCCTCCTCAGTGATAAATCAAACCGACCCGCTTGAGCGGATAGGTAAACAACTCAATGTGAAAACGAAACCCCTACCGGCAGTGAGGAACTCCAAAGCCAAGTTGAAATGGGTGAAAGGAAAGAAACAGCCGGCCCCCAACTTTTTGCCAGAGACAGAAAAAGAAATGCCTTGAAACATGAGACTGAGATCCCTCTCTTTTTGTCGAACCGTTGCTTTTGATGGCGTTCCCTTTTCTGTTTCCGATTATGCTGGTGAATCCTGTGCTTTTGCTGTTCCTGAAAAAAAGAGAAGAGATGCGCGAGACGCAGAAAAAAGAAAATGAATCAAAGCCGAAAACTCCCAACTGCCTTAGCTTTCATGAAAACAGAAGAAACACACGAGATAGCTGTTCATGTACTAGATTTCCATGCCCATGAACAGCCACCTGTTGCTCGTCACGTCCACGTCATGCGCCCAGCGGTCCAGCGTCGTCAGCTCGAAGCCCACCCACTGCAGGCTCTTCATCAATGATTTCGCGTCTTCCTCCTCGATGCCTCGGTCAATGCAGATGACGAGATGCTGGCAGTCCAGTGGACCGTCAACCAACTCCATCAAAGCCATGAGCCTAGATAACGGTCAGCATGTAATAGATCGTGAGTCATCTCAAGTGAACGTACGCAGGCTTCAGGTCACGTCCGATGACGTTCCTATCAAACAAGGCAAACAGGGACTTTTCAGCCCCGTCGTCCGCCACAAATGCCCGGAAACTCGCGCCGCCGGCAAAGTCCCAGACCTCCATCCACGCTGTGGCGGGTGCGGGAGCCTTTGTATCGGTCTCACGCCCGCCAAAGTGGGGCTGAACAGCCAGGTCCTCGTCGGACGGCGGAGTTTGCATAGAATAAACACCCGTCAGGCCGGAGCCATTCGGACCAGTGCCCCTCTCACCGCGGAACACAGCCTTCATGGACTCACAAAAGAATCTCTCACATTCTTCCCTGATCGTAAGTGCTGCCCCCCCTCGACGGCTGATCCTCTTACCGGGCTGCTGGCGCTGCTTGGTGGCTTTGGGAAGCAGCGCGAGCTGGTTGGATGCCGTTATGGCCGCGAGGGGGGGGCTTGATGGAGGTGATGGTAGTCCTGAGGAGGGGACCTCAGGAATACCACTCGGCCCCTGTTGATAGCGGAATGGTTAGCGTCGTGGATCATGCATGCCAGAGAGTGTGTGAGACGTTGGAAAGTGTGGGGGCGGGGACGGATAGAGAGAGACAGGTGATCGACGAGTTGGTCGAAGATGAGGCTGAAGAAGGGGTGATTGGAATGGATGCGACGTACCTGCGGCCCCGGTAGTGCAGTAGTGGAGACCGCGAAGAGTCGCGGCAGAGTCGACGATGTAGCAGCTGGCAAGGACATTGGCCTGACGGACAACGGCCTCGCCATCAAAATTACTACTACTGTAATTACTCTGCTGTCTCATTGGCGCCATTGCGATTGATTTCCTGGGGGTGTTGGTCTTGACTCGGTGTATTTTTGTGATGTGGTGTTGGTAGGTGCGGTTCTCGGGGATTCGGAACCGGTCGACAGATTGGGATTGATCGTGATTGAGAAGGTTGAATTGGATTCGGAGAGTTGGATTGGAGTCGTGAGAGACTTGTTTGGATGATCGAGCTATTGGATTGTCTGGCGGTGAGGCTGTAAACAGCGATTGATTGCTTGCTTGTCGAGACGGAGAGGTTGTCGAGATTTTTTTTTTTTTTTTTGCGTTGCGAACGGCGGTTGTTGCGGGAGCGAAGGGGTACCTTCTTTTGCGAGCGGTGAAGAACGGTGTGGGAGGAGAAGGGCAGGAGGTCAGTGGGTGAGACTGGCCGGCGAGTACCTTTAAAACCACAGCGGAGTCCTAGAGCGTGGAAATGTCCAGCGTGGCGGAGACGGGGGCACCGTGGGAAGGGGACCAGTTGCTGCACCACCAGCGGCCACGGCACAACCACCCAGCTGCACCGGAGCCACACAGGACAGTCATAATCAGCCATGCCATCTCCACCTTCCGCTTCTTTGATGGCGCGACCACCCATGCTCCCCCCTCTCTTTCCAGTGTCCTCTCGATGGCAATGCACCTCCACGGCATGGCATTTGATGCGTAACATGTTTGCCATTGTCTGGAGTCTGAGCCTGTTGTTGGTCTTTCGCGAAGATTCCAAGCATCATACACCCTCCCCCGACGAATTGCAGGATGATCACGCATCGACTTCCCCAGTTTCTTGTTGATTGCCGCACCGGGACCCCTAATTAGAGCGTCGTCCACCACGGTAGCACGGAGCGGACGGCCTCTGGGCTTACGAAACCGGCCAGGAGCCCACTGCGGCGCCCCGTACATGTTGCACTGTCAAGCACGTTTTCCACTGCGCCGCGTCACATTGGCTGCCTTGCTTGTCTACCCCTTCATCTTGCCGCCAATTCAAGCCCTTCTCCGTCCTTGGGCTGGTCAAGTCGTGATCTCCTCAACCTCAATGGATTTTGGGTTTGCCTAACGACCTAATCATTCACGAAGCCAGTCAACCGCCGCCAACAATCACGGTTCGGCTGGACGCTCCCCATCCGGATCCGGCGCGGCGCTTGGCACTTGGACCGGCTTGCCAATCGCATAACAGACAGCGACAAGGGCCGTGGGATGGAGTGAGGGAAGGGGGGGGAAGCTGCAAGTTCACATGCACGTGGACAGCGCTGAGCCGAGCCCAGTCGAGCCCAAAATCCAACCTGCAGCCAGCCCAAGCCCAGTGTCTGGCGGACGGTGTACACGGAGAACCCTGACCTGTTCTTGCATCACGGAGTTTGCCTCTTCTTAGTGATGGATTCCACAAGAATGAGTAACCCCTCTGGATCCCCTAGACTTTGGCTGGAGCAGTTTGAGGTAATCGCACATCATGCGCCGGCATCTGGTCCAGCACAAGGCAGATCATCGTATCAGTGACAGATAACCGTGGAAGCTTCTGATCGATCGGTGTGCTTATGGTTGGCCTTTTTGCGTCAAACTCCAACTGCCCAGAAACCATTCCATCCCCCAAACCTTAGAGGCCAAGGGTCGCCTTCTTCTTGGCTTGCGTGATGTTGTCTTGAGTTCCTCAAATCTATTACAAACGTTCGCCGTGCCGTCGTACAGCTTTAGTCAAAACGGTCCAAACGCTCCACGGACAACAACGTGGCTCCCCTTCCCTGGGCAACCCGCGACCGTCAATGCAGCGATCCCCCGCCCCGGAGCCCGGCATGGTCGGAGGAGCCCACGAACCGTTCGACGGGATCCGGTCTACCTTGGTCGATTGATTAATCACAGGAATGCCGTGACAAGCACCTCGTCACTAAACACCAGCTTGCGAAGAACGTCAGTATACGGCGGAAATACTGGGGTAGACGTGGTGCGATTCCCCAGCTTTGCGTCAAAGAGATGTGTGCTCTCCGGGGTGTTCGTGTTTCTGTTCGGGTCACTTGACCGCGCCCAGCCGCTCCGTTTCCCCACACTTGACATTTCGCGATTGCGAGTCATCATTGCCTGGGCTCCGGGGTTCTCATCGACCCCGTTACCCCTTGGCTCACTGGCATGGCATGAACGGGGCGGTTTAGCTGTTGCTAATGATAAACATGAAGTGCCATCATATCGCCTAATAATAATATCCAAAGCTGTTTGAGTACCATCATAGATCAGAATGGGAATGTGGTTTATGTCAGAAGGCAGACAGTCGCCGCGGTTGCGATCGCCCGGAGGCGTCTGCGGTTGGTCAGCAGGCCAGCAACTCAATGGCTCAGATGACCGTCTTGTCCAACTTGTGCAAAAGACACCAAGCAAAAGTTTCGGTGTCGATTGCTCCATATCCCGAACCTTCTCTGGACGCACAGAAGCTTTCCGGCAGGGCGTGCAAACAAAACCGCAACATCACGACTCGTAAGATTGATAGCGAAACGGAAGCTCGCTCCTTCTAGAAGCCCTTTAACTTTCTCCTTCCCCTCTCTCGCCCGTCTCCAAAAGAGGGGGGAACTGGACCCCCAAAGCTTGCCGCACACCCGTCGCCGTCGTCGTTGTCGTTGGCTTGGAGCACATCTGACGGGGCTTGACCATCGAATGAGGTGATCAATGATCATACCCACATTTCCGTCCAACCAGCATCACCAGGAGGAAATCTCGAGTGACACAGCAAAAAATATTGGGAAGGGTCGCCGAGCGTTGACAAACCAACTGCAACCTCTCCCATTGCCGGCACCGACTACACTATCCAAGGATGGTGCGGCTTCTCCACCTCGACGCATCTTATCGGCTCACGTCCTCCAAAAAGGTGTTATCGATAACGCCTTGGAGGGTGGGGGCAGACACCGGACTGACCTTACCCAAGCCTAACGACCGCTGATCGCTCATGCGACATGCTGCCGCCCGCAACCTCCGAGCGCTGGTCGTCTGAGACTGTTGATCGGAGGAAGAGGGGGTTGGGGGTCGAAGAGGAGGCCAGGCCAGGCCAGCAGATGTCCCATTTGCCCTCTCTCCCAAGCTCCGTTCGGACTTTGTGAGGAGGTAAAGGTCACAGGTTCACCCTTCATGAACGACTCAGCCAGTCACCTCGCCAAAAGCTTCCGCAGGATCTGGCATGACAAGCCCACGTTTTGCCCCCTCTCTCTCTTTCACCTTTCTCCTCAGCCTTCCCCGAATGGAGTAGTATTGCAAACCGAACTCGAATACAACGGTTACTTGCGCAGCTTACATGTAATCGTTTGAGACGAGAGGTCAGAAAAGGGAACGACGCCCAGACCTTAGGACGTAGTATCTCTCACACACCGTCCCTCACCGCAAAACAAGGCGGGGGCAGCCGTCGCAACGGCGCGCCGGCCGCATTACCTTGAGACCCAGAAAGAGAGAGAACGCATGGCCCATTACCTTATCCTTTACCCTTGAAGTACCTTAACTACCGCAGCAGCCGTGAAGGAATTACACACACACAACGTTTTTGGCGCGCGATCCCCAACCTGCCCAAACCTGATGCCAGGCGGCCGGCCCATAAGTCATTCAAGCCAGCCTGACCTGCCCTCCGTCTCGTGCCGAAAAGCTGTCTTCCATCATACGAATGGGTGTGCCTACCTGACTCTCTCTTCCAACCCGGTCTTGACCAATAAGTACGCCCAGCCCACACCATATTTGACATCGAACCAGGCCGTCTGACGGACCCTCTCCGGTCGCGCAGTCCAGGGCGTGACAGCAATAACCACCCCAAGCAAACCCAGCCCGGCGTCGTCCCAAGATTCCCTTATCCATACACCTTCGGTCCCGGACCGACTAACACCTACATAACAAACACCAAACACCAGAGGAAGACGAAAAAAAGTCATGTTTGGCTCCCCGACTGTTGCTTCCATCGCGCGCCGCAATCTTTCCCAACGAACGTAGCTCCTCTCTTTCTGTTCTCCACCCGCATATCGTGCCCTTCCGGACCTGTATCCGGAGGCGCTGCGCAACTTACACAACCTCGGGCGCATATCCTCGAGAGACACAAAGAAAACGAAAAAGAGTAAACACCACAAAACCATGGCGCCAAACATCATCGTCTCCCGCCCAACGTTCCCAACCTACCTCCTCCCCTCTTTCAACCTCCCATTTCGCCGCCGCCCATCCTTACCACCAACGACGACGGCGACAACGGCGACAACAACCCCAACGCCAGAAGCAAGCCAGATCCCCTCCCTCTCCTCCTCGCCGACATCCTCAACGACAGACGAGGCCCCGACGCCTCCAAACAGCCCTCCCCCGCCGCCCTACCAAGACACCATCACAACCTCATCGCCCTCCTCCCCCGCCGACACCAAACTCCCGCCCACCCGCCTCCGCCCCCGCCGACAAACCCGCACCAAACCCGCCGCCCTCACCATCTCCCGCACGCAGCCCGACACGCTGCGGTGCTCAACCTGCTCCAGCGACATCGCCTTCGCCTCCCA